GCAGCGCATTTCTTAGACACTTAAGAGACATGGTACATGGGAACCAATCGGAACTCAACCATGCTGATCTACAGCAGCCCAGATTCCAAAAAGATGAGGAAACAGTAACGGCAGTCGTCGGCCTCATTCAAGCCTGGATCAACCCATTCTCAGAAAAGCAAGACCTCATAAGCATTTCTACTGCAAAATCGGCACCCAAAGACATTGCCTCTGACCTGATGAAGGAGTGCGATATTGGAGAGCAGAGTTATGCCACTTTCAAAAACGAGAGACTGGAGAACGATCCTCCAGCAAAATAATTTCACGATCCGATGAAAACTAACAAGCTGAAAACATTCACTAATATGTGTAAGAAGAAGGTAGTAAAAACAAGTGGGAAGGAGATCATCTTGAAAGCTGATCGGTCTCTGTTTGGTCGCATCATAGTGATGGCACAAGAGCGCAATCTCAAGATGGAGGACATCCTCTCTCATCCCATGGGACCACTACCCTGGTCTCTCTCCACCCCAGACGGAATACTCAGGAAAACAAACAAAGCTGCCCTAGCCACATCTCTGCAGAAGAATGTGACAGTAGCAGACCAAGTCCCACAAAATTCTTCCTCTGTGGTCGATGGAATGAACCTAGTTCAAAGAATAAAGGGTGATCAAGCTACGTTTGGAGACATTGCCTCTACCATTCTGTCTATGGCATTAAGTGAAGGAAGTAAAAGTTCCAGAATAGATGTTGTGTTTGACACGTATCGAGAGAATTCTATTAAGAACAGTGAGAGATCGGCACGACGGGAAGAAACTGGGCACCAGCTGCAGGGTATCACAAGCACACAGATCGTGAGGCAATGGAGAAGTTAATAAGAAAACCAGTCTGATTATCTTCATTGTCAGCGAATGGAGGAAGCCAGTGTATAGAGAGAAACTACATGAGAAGATTCTGTATGCAACTGTAGATGACAAATGCTACAGGATTACATCGCAGGGTAGTGTGCCAGATCTACAGTGCCAGCAGGAAGAAGCAGATGGACG